CCCCCCCCAATATTGCATACCCTCAAACTCCGGAAAGTTAAGCTCGTATTCTTGCAAATTAGAAAAGAACCAACTTGAAAGCATATTCCGCGCTTAGGCAGCGCTCAAAATTCGCGACGACGCGCTGCCGCGCTGTGACGCGCTACAATTGCAACAGTGCTCCAGGGCTATAGACGCGTATGCAGCCGCAGACTGGAGTCGATCGGCGCCACCCGATTACATATTGAGAGAGTAGGGGGAGGGACGTCAATCAATCACCTAGTCTTTTATCGATCGGCACTGGACACAGGCGACGCCGGCGAAGCTGAACATTTCCGTGTGCGGCCGCGTTCCCTTTATACGGCTGGAGCGCTGTTGAGATGGTAGCTCGTCGATGCGCCTTACAGCGCGTCACCGCGAAGTCTAGACGCTGCCTTACTCTACTGGTGCTTGGCCTACTATTGCGCCTTCTTCATTGGCGCACTCCTTCCTTCCACTTTTAGGAAGAAGGGAGACTCCATGCAAGAAGTGCAATTATAGACTAACTCCGCCCACGCGATCAGCGCGGGACGCCCTCTTGAACCCCTCAAAACAATATCTTTCGAAAACATATCGCTATGCGAATTTGAAAACCAGAAACCCTCGGTGAAAATACAAAAAATTAAGTCGAAACAAATAAATATAAAATCAACAAAAATGACATAGGTGACCCCTGAAGACTATAAATACCCCTCGTAAACACCCTTTACTAAAATATAGTGCAGAAGCAAGTGAATATAAACTGCTTAATTTTCACGCTAAACAAATTTCACAAGCTACTACAATAGCAATAAAAATAAAGTACATTGGTACAAATAATAAGCACATGTTAGCAGCACAGCACTCTTGATTTATATGAGAAGAAAGACATAACCGCGAACCTGCTTCTTCGTGAATCCCAATGATTTCAAATTTTTGGAAATGAAATTCTGCTTAAGTTCGGGATGTGCCTCATCCGGTTCTTTGCACTGGATTGCCTCACCTTAAGAACAATGAGTTAGTGAATGGATGATAAACTACTTGAAATCCTATACGGCTGAGATTCTTTTTAAAACATGAGAAATTCGATGAAGATCTGCTCACAATGGCTGGGTACTTTTCAGCAACAAAACATAGTTATTAGATTTTATAAGCGCACAAAGCCGCGTTCACACTTTGCGAATGGAGAGGAAGAAGAAGCTATTTGGAAGGGTGGGCATGAAGGAGAGTATGCTTACCGATCTGGTGAACCCTCGACTCGGAAGAATCGGAGACAATCGAACAGATGATGAACTAGCGAACAAGACTCCATCCATGAGCTTCCTGCGGACTTTTGGTCCGCTTTTATGCTCAACAACTCGACCGATCCGCTCTCTTCGGTGGCCGATTTTCTTAGATAAAAACATGGGCAAGATGTTACAGGGCACAGGATTGCCTAAGCTCGCGATTCCTGAACTAGACCCCAAGCATACATCACTTTTCGTGCATTCGCTCTCGCAACCTCCACATCTCCACAGTATGAACACGGCCGTTTCTAGCGAGTCTGCATTCTCGCTCGCTGTGGACACTGAAGCGTGTCAATTGGGATGGGTTTGACGTGGCGCCAGCCCCTTCTCCACTAATTACAGAAGCTAGCAGACGACCATAATTGGTAGAAAACTGGCTATTACGCACCAAACCCAGCCTTCCAGACACAAAATGTCCTCAGCGAACATGACCTTAAAGGAACGGTTCGCGATGACCTATGAAAATGCAAAAGGTTGTGTGGGAGGTTAGCGCGGTCCGCGGTGGACAACCTTGTGCCAGTTTTGCGGCGGAAAGTTGTAAGGTAAAGGAGTTATGACGCAAAGTTGCCTCAGTGATATCTCCTTTTCAGCGACTCCGCCAGACTCCGCCTTCGAAACCCGCCTTCCAGCCAAAAGATGCTACCTCACAAGTAGCGCGAAAGGGTAGCGCGAAAGGGATGCTCCGTGGTCTCTTGCGGCCATAGGGCATATTGGGAATAATGAACCGACTGGATGCGATTCAACACGCGGTCTTTCGGCCTTTTACCCGTACAACTGTCTGAGACTGGAGTGGTCCTATTAGGGGCGTTTCCGACGTTCCCTTTGGCATTTTCTCTTTACAGACGAGTCACTTGACAAGTTGTCTTCCTTATTTCAACACCACTAAATAAGCTCCTCATCGCGGACCGTGCCTTAAGTTTGCCATATTTGATCGGGGGAAAATAAAAAGAGCGTGTGAGACATCTGAAGAAAGCAACAAAGGAACATAGGGAATTAAAAAACGCGGTTTACAAACCGCTTCAATCCATGGGGGCAGACCAAGCAAAAAAGGAAAAAAAACAATCAGATCAACCGGTTCCAACTAGGGCTAGTGGCTAGGTCTTCAGTACATTTGACTTGTAGGAAAATAAGCGATGATAAGAAAAACAAAAATCCCAACACACAGTATGGGTAACAAAAAAGGTAGATCATACCAGGCGTTGGTGGCTTGATAACTGGGCAGGCAACAGCGGCCGCTGGATCAGCTTCCGGATGCGCCCTTTGATCTCCAGCTGAAAGGAGCAACTCAAATACAAATCAAACCATATCGGAACAAAGCTACAGTTCTACAGTAGATCTCAAACAGCTTCTCTAATACAGAACTGATTCATTCGGATGCTGCTGTGTGATGCGTGCCCAAAGCGACGTTGAGCATTGAGCTACTACAAACTGAACATATGCATGCTTCACAATCATGCATTCTACAAGCATAGAGTAGAAGAAGCATATACAAACAATTTTCACGTGTTTACAGCATTAAAGGCAGTGAGCACGATTGCTGGAGGCGGACGGTCGTTGCCAGCGTCATTGGTGGAAGGGCTGCGAGAGGGCGTTTAGTCACAGCCCACTCAGCCTTCCATTAATGACGTTGGCGACAATTTCCGCTCGCAAACATCGTGCTCGCCTCCTTCAGGCAACAGGTCAGTAAGTGCTCAACAGAAAGTCTTTGAAGCGACTTGCCTTGCACTGGAGTGCTTAAAATGATTTCCAGGAGTCACCTTCCTTGGCAATTGCCGCTGGTGAGCTTTTCATGAGTTTTACAGCTATTTCCCTATCCTGGACCTTGCCGAAAGAAACGCTAACTCCCATTTCTGTGGTTCCACTGTGAATGTTGGTAACTATGTTGGTAATTACAAATTTCATGGTGTGTGATAGCCAAACGACCGATAAGACAGACGCTCAAATATGAAGCTAGAAGCATAGAAGCTTGCACGCTCGACTCCAAGAGCCTCTTGGTACATTGCTACACGCTGAAACTCTGCGAGTTTGCTGGTGCTTGGACGAGTTTTCCAACTTGTTCGCTTCAAGCCAGCAAATCGATATCGGTGCCGACTCTGGGCTCTGTGCACCTAATCTGGCCTGTGAAAGTCAACCACACATTTGTACTTCATGCAACGACGTCATCACACACGCACGACTAGCTCGAGAGAAGGAAAAGGAAAGGAGAAAAACACACTGTTCTGTGCAGATATACACAGAGAGCATTCACGTCTACAGAAAGAGCTTGTCGGATGTGGGCTTCAAGTTAAAGAGGGTCAAGGCCGAGCCAGCAGAATCGGAAGGCGTCCGTACTGGAACCCTAGCGCAGTTTGGCGTTGTGTTACTAGCGCAAAGCACACTTCAATTAATTAATTTCTGATTAGAATTCGTTTGATTCTAAAGAAGTATGCCGAAAAAGGGGTGAATGGCGCGCCCTATTACCTGAATTAACGCTGGGCATTCCGTTGGCTCCAAAGAAGTCAAGATATTAGGGTATCACCTGCTGGCTCATCGCATCTAACGACAAGCTGTACACGATCTCCGGGGACGAGACTTTTCAATGTGCGAGGACGCCGTGGGATCCGCCAAGCTGCCAGTAAACCTATCATTTTCTTCGATCAAAAGTGTGTGTGCGTTGTTGTGGTGGGGAGGGGTGGGGTTGGTTGATTTGTGTGATACTCTCCGCGTTGCTCCTCTCTTCAATGTGCAAACTTGGCGTCGATGCCCAGAGACCTCGCCCAGTGGCCGAAAGTCGTCTGGTGCGTAATAGATGAGGTATTAACTAAGACACTGGGAGGCTGTGGCGAGCTTATGGCTAAGAGTATAGGCGTGTTTCTGACCGCTGTTCTATTTCTGTTACTTTGTCCTTGTGAGCCGCTCGTGCAGGTCTGGTGTGCTCTCTGCGGTTGGTAGGTACCTGCGTTCGTGTTGGCATACTTGTTGTCTCGCAGTTCGTTGAAGATGGGCGGGGGGGAGAAGAGGGGTGGGGTGGTGTGAGAGAGCAGTCGGCGTGATCGGGGCGTGGCGTTGCCTCCACGTGTGCCGGATCGAATTGTGGATCATGGGGTATGATTGGAAGTGTGGAACCCCTTCTGCTGCTGGCTCAGACATGGCATGGGGCAGGATCGGTTGATGCCGTTAGGACGCGCTGACTTTTGGCTGCGAGCTCATTTTTAAAGTGCCTAGTTCACCAAATCCGCTGAAAACTTGTATGTAGGGGTAAGTCTAACATCCTGTTCACAAATATAGCATTCATTCCCGGCGCTACGATGGAGGACACTACCATTATTTTCTGGGTTCAGCTTTAGCAGAGGGCAGATAATCGTAGTGTTCTCCATTAGCGCCAGCGCCAAGAATGAATGTCATAGTCGTAATCAGGATGTTAGATTACCTCTATATACAAGTTTTCAGCGGATTTGGTGATTTAGGCACTTTAAAAATGAGCTCGCAGCCGAAAGTCAGCAGCATTAGTCACCAGGATCCACGGAGATGAGTATACAGTTGATCTCCAGGATAGAGAAATGGCTTTATACCCACATCCGACTTGCACTTTGCCCGCGCACACGCACCTAACGGTTGTCGCCCCTTCATTGAAATCGCTCGTAAAGTGAAACGAGGAGATCGGATCATGAGTTTGTGACTGAGTGCACGATCGAGTGGAGCAAGCAGTGGAGGGGCAGGTTGCACATGAGGTGAATCCAGTGATGGTCGAGCTGACTGTCCAGGTGTAGCAATGCTGACATTGGATGACGATTGTACAGATGGATCGTCTTCATCGGATGTATCATCGCCATCATCCTCTTCACAGCAATCGACTAAACGAGTCGTCGCCTTTCCGAGTTGGAATTGATGTTGTATAATACATAACAGGGAACAAATTGCATAGCTGGATCGTTAACAAACCACTTCACTGAAGTTCAATTAAATTCAAAAACATCTGGTTAACCAGGTTTGAAGGCAGTGGGCACGACCACTGTGGGCGGACGGTTGTCGCTGACGTCATTGGTTGAAGGGCTGAGTGGGAGCGTGACCAAACGCCCTTCCACAGCCCCTCCACCAATGACGCTGGCAACGACCGCCCGCCTCCATCAATCGTGCCCACTGCCTCAAAAAATGACACAGGCAAGAAGTGTTCACACTCATGATGCATACAAGGTGAGGTTGAAAAATCGAATTCCATTCTGAAAGCGTTAGTCGGTGCAAGATATGAGCACAAACGGCACCAGCCCAATCGATCCCTCGGAATACTCCTCCTAAAGTTTCTTCAAAGGCAGTGCGATGGCTGGGTTCGGGCGGTTGCTGCAATCGTCCTTGGTAAAAGGGCGGAGTGGGGTGTGGCCAAACTCCGTTTTACAGCCCTTACCAGTGACGCTAGCAGCAACCGCCCGCCCCTAGTCATCGTGCCATTGCCATCAAGACACCCAAGTTGTACGCAAAATTTTTTTGCCGGATTTCGGCTACGTTTCACAGTAACACCGTTGAAATGCCGTTAAAACGGCGAACCTTTTTGATCGTTGCGGATGATGAGGCATGCCAAGGGAATGGTTTAAACGCGAACCAGCTCGCTTTTTTTCTTTTTTCTTCCAGCAAGCCACAAGACTGTACGGCAGCGTTCAGACTTCGCGATGACGCGCGACTACGCGCTGTACGCGCCACACTGCAACAGAGATCGATCGACCCACTTTTGTACGCAGTCTGATATCGATCGGCTGGCTGTCCGCCAGGAAGGCGCCGACCATTTCCCGTCCGCGGCTGTGTTCGCCTCTATAAAACTGAAGCGCTGTTACGACTGTAGCACGTTGCAGCGTGTCATCGCGCGTCAACGCGCGTCATCGCGAAGCCTAAACGCTGCCTAATATCGTCCGTACCGTCGTTTTTGCTTCAACAGCTTGTGGCTGTCAACGTGCCACCCAGTCTCACTGACGCGCCCCGTCATCCGCAGCAAACAGGACTGATTGTATATTCTTCGCACACCATGGAGCCCAAAAGTTCGACCACGAAAAGGGTTATCACTGATCTAGCGGGTCAAGTGCGTTTTCTGCACAATATTGTCATTTGAAAGAACACAATATGAAGACTCTATCACCACCTGCATCCAAAAGTTTCGAAAGAGCAAAGCAGCCACGAAAAACG